GGGATTGCCCCCAGCTATTTGTCGGCGGCTGAGAATGCTGGTCATAGCCTGGTGCTTGGGTGCGGGTAGAGACGCCGAGGCTGTTGTTTTCGCCATAGGGCTCAAACATCTCGCGTTCTTGGCTTCTCTGTCCGGCTCCGGGAGGCGTCGCGGACGATATTACCAGCATCCTCTCCTGAAAGAGCGTCCGTAGCCCTGAGGAGAATCTGTCCATTGCGGCCATAAAGGATGTCTCTATCCTGTAGGCCTGATCAAAAGATTATGGCCGAGAGAGGAACTGATCTCGGCCGTCAGGTTCACGGCCTGAGCTACAAGGCCGTTTTAGTGGTGGTGTTGGTGGCGGGTTTTAGGCGGTGCTCCGGCACGTTGCTCAAAGAGTGACGGTCGTATGATATATGGGGTGAATGAGATGACAACAGAGATGGTGCTCCGGTGCCTTGAAAATCAAGGGTCGTATGATATATTAATGAATGGATTTTCCTTACAATCTACCACTACTCCTAGGAAAGCAAATAAAGGTATTGAAAGTGCATTACAGGAAAATATAATTTGCTCCGTGTGAGGCTTTTGGTTTGGTGTTTGAACCCCTTGAATGTAGTCTTGAGCTTAGTATTTATAGGGGGAGTCCTGGAGGTACAATCGAGGCTGAAAAGATCTCCGTGGTAGAGCCTGATCGGGGCAAGTGGGTAATCAAATCGGCATTTGGGATCGTGAAGCATGGTGGTGTGACCCCTATGGATCCAGGTAAATCTCGGCCACCGCCCTGATCGTGGGTTCTGCCCCCTTGGCCATGGGAATGCATTTAATGCCCTGGTCTGGTGGTTGGTGACCTGACCTCAAGTTGTAAGCATACTTGTGAGAATGTTTGTGCCTAACCACTCTCATCTCCATTACCAAATCCTGACTTCAGTCACTTCCCCTCTCCCCTCGTGCATTAAATGATTCTTGCGACTAGTGGGCTTACTGCGATAGTCAGAGGCATTACTTCATTAAATGGGGCGTGGGACCCTGAGGCCACATGGCGATTTGACCGTAGTATCTTCGGCTATGTCTTTTACGGCCCTCGGCTTTGGCCCATAATACCGCGGTCACGAGGCCGAGAGGATTCTGCCTTCGCAGCTTTTTCTTTTGTTTTCAGGAGGGCGAAATACCTAACGAAACGTGGCCGTTTCAATTCATGAGTAGGTGCTAGGGCCGAGAGGAGGTCCCTTCGGTCAGTTTATGACTGTGGTTTATTAGGCACGAACAGGACCACTAGGTTTTGTATGGTTGTAAACACTAGGGGGAATCCTAGAAGAGATCGAGAATTTGAAGAGTCTAGACTTCGTTTAGAATCAGAGACAAGTATGGCTGGTTCACTTCCCATGAACACAGCCACAAAATGTTATGAACGGACAACAAAGCCAAAACAGCATCGGCCGAGCTTCGGCCATTGACCCCAACCATGTGGTGGTCGAAGATGTTATGGAAGCCGATGGAGGGCCAGTCTTGAGACCGAATTCGGCCACTTCACTGGAGATCCAACAGTTCATCCGAGCAATGGAGACATCAAACCAACTCAACCATCAACAGTTGCAAGATATGGCTCAAACCAAGATAAATGAGAGGTTTGATCAGTTGCTAGGCCACTAAAATTGCCAAAATGGGAATTAGGTGGCTCTAAATGGAGTGCCAGCTGCGAGACCTCAAGTAGAGGTTCAACCAAACGTCTTGGGTGCGAACCTGCCTTAACCGAATCCACCAGCTGGGGGTAATCCAGCCCCAGCGATCAATGTTCCGCCGATAGGTAATAACCCATATGTGGCGGCCAACCAATTCCAAGGATTCCTGCCATATAACCAATTCCGTCCACAAGTCCACCAGGAGGAAGGAGTCAACTTCGCTGGTCCTCATATTAACCAATTTGCCGGAAATGGTGGGTGGAATAATCTCAGTGGGAATGCGAACTTGAATAATCCACTACTAGGAAACCAAGCGATTGACCGAGAGGTGATTGAACAGATGCTCTAGGATATGGTGCCTCATGCTAGGAGGATTGGTAGACCAGTTTATCGGAGGCCTTATCCAGAGCATTTTGATCTAGAGGAGTATCCAGGAGGATTCAAAGTTTCGGACTTTGCATTGTTTTCAGGAGACGGGTTTCCGTCGACTGTGGAGCATATTGGCCGATTCACGGCTCAATGTGCTGAAATCGGACATCGTGAGGCCTTGAAATTAAGGCTATTCCTGAGTACCCTTACGGGGGCTGGTTTTTCATGGCATGTCAAACTTCCTTAGAACTCAATTCCAAATTGGCAGACCATGGAGCAAATCTTCCATGAACAATTTTATCGGCTAGAGCCAGAGGTTTCGATGGCCGACTTGGCAAAGATGCGTCAAGGATCAAATGAGTCTGTCCAAGAATACTTGGGGAAATTTAGAGAAGCAAGGGCTAGATGTACGGTCAACATTCCTAAACATGAGTTTGTGAAGTTGGCCCAAGGTGGATTATTGCGTTTCGCGATATCTACGACCTCCTACTTCGAGTGGATCGATATGAAGCTCTTCTAAATGAGGAACAACAAAAGAACCAGCCAACATCTCGGCCAACCTTTTATAAGGATCTTCCAAAACCTTCCACATCTAGAACCACAGCTGTCCATGCAGTGGATATTGAAGATGTGGACTCAGAGGAAAGAAACGAGGAAGTCTTCCAAGAGGAAGAAGAAGAATCGGTTGGAATAAACTTGGCTGAAATCGTGGCCAGTGGACCACATGTATGCAAGGCTTTGCAAATGGCATAATGTATGGTCTCATGCGACTAACAATTGCCTTGTTTTCCGAAATGTTGTGCAGGACCTTATCGATTGAAAAGTCTTGAAATTTCCGGAGAAAGCTGCAATGGGCGTTGATCAGAATCTGTTTCCTAATGCTCAGGCCAACATGGGGAATGTCAACTTCCCAAGGCCAGATCAGCCTCGACTAAGGTTGGACTTGGGTGGCTCTGGAAAAGTAGCGGCTGAGAGAAGAGCAAGGGAGACCCATGCAGATCCTAAGGCAAAGGGTAAGGCCAAGATGTATTCGGAGATGACTAAGGCTTTAGATGAAAATATTCCAATTAGGGAAGAACCTCACAAGGCCATTGTGTTATGCAGCCGATGTCAATGTGAGGTTTCACTGGAGGTAGTTCCACCAAAGGCCAAGGAGCCATCCAGAAAACCAACTAGGGAGTAGGCCAAGGAGCCAGTCCAGAAAATTAGGCCCAAAAGTGCTGGGAAGAACATGATGAAAAGTCCGGCTGAGAATTATGGCCCACATAGCCCAAGGGACATGATGGATATAAGGCCGAACAAACAGCCATTACATGAGTATCAAGATAGGTACGAGAAGCCACGATATCAGCCTAAGAGAAGAAATCAGCATATGCCACTAAGGTATGAGGATGTTGATCCGTTGAACCCAAGCCGAAACCAAAATAGAAGCGTGTGGGTTTCGGTGGGAGAAGGAAATAATCGAGAGGTGGCTTATGTATCAAGACCTCACCCAGCGGATGGTAGTGGCGTTCCAACATTCAAAATGCCAAACACCAAGGCATGCCAGTGGTATAGGAGCAGAGGTTCAAAGCTTCCTCCAATACCTCTAAACAAAACTCAAACAAGAAGCGCTTAGATGCAATATGCTGCCTCATGTAATGCAGAGTTTGAATGGGCGGATGAGAGACAAGCCCAACTTAATAGATTAGTCAAACTTCGAGAAAAGCTTCGGCTGGAAGAGCTAGAGTTGGCCAAAGCCGATGTTGTGGCTTCGTTGGAGGCAGCAACGGCAGAAGAAAGGAAAATTCGCAGGTAATGAGCAAATGGCCAAGTTGTGATGACAACCTTAGATGAGCCATGGATGATGGATCATCAAAGGTGGAGAAACCTAGAAAGGTTCAGTTGAAGGCCAAACCTCCAGCCCTTAAGAATCAAGTAGTGACTAAGGTGGTATTAGCATCTGAGGTCGATGAGAAAAAAAACAATGACCATGAAATGGTCGGGAATGTTAAGGGTAAAACCCAAATGAGGGAAGACAAGCCAAAGATAGAAGAAGACCAAGTTATGGTCGATGTTCAAACACCTGAGGCGGAAGAAAAGGCTGAGGCTACGGCCGATGTTGAGGCCGCAGAAGCGTCAGAAAATCCAGAAGGCACTTTAGCTGACGATGAAGAACTTTATGGGGAAGATGAAGATTATGGTGAGGATGAGTATTTTGAAGAACTTAGAGAAGAAGTTATGGAGCACTTAGCTGAAGAACGCACATAAGAGATGGCCAAGTTTGAAAATGAACTAAAAGTGGGAAGGCCAAGGTGAAGTTTGGGGACTTCGATGAAGTTGAGGCCATGGTCATCGCACTTCCCTTATTTTTCAAAGCTCAGCCAGGTCAACCAAATTCCATAGATGGGGATGTGTTCAATGAAATCGAATCCATGGTTCAGATGGGAGAACCAAAGGAAATTGAAGTGATTCGGCAAATCCCGAAGGCAGAGGTAGCTCAGCCTCAAATCGTGGTGCCAAGTTTAGAGAAGGAAATGCCGGAGAAGGTGTGCTACGAAATGCCCACTAAGAAGATGGCTTCTCTTCTTAAACCTCTATACATGAGTGCTCATTTTGATGGGATTTCGGTGAGCAAAGTTCTAGTCGACACAGGGGCCATGGTGAACATCCTCCCAACTTCGGTGATGAAGAAATTGAAGAAGAGCTCAGATGAACTAATCCCGACCGAGACAACGGTCAGTGGCTTTGTGGGAGATACCACAAGATCGAAGGGGATCATCCCACTCCAAGTCAGAGTAGGAGGAAAGGTTAGGATGACAGCCAAGATTGGATTCACAGAAGTATGTGTGTCCCTTCCTCACTCCATCAGACTCTACAATTTTGGCACGAGGATGGGAGTGTGGAATTAGTTCAGGCCGACTCACGGCCTTTCATGGCTTCAGCCAATGCGGTGGAAGCCAGATTCTACGAGGATGATCTTGGTCCTCTTTATTTCACTAGGTCAGATAAGATTGGCCGACCTACGGAAGTCTCGGCCTAAAAATTGATAGACCTAGGGGCACACGATGCCCAAGCAGATGGGGAGCGCCCTACGATGGCTGATTTCTTCTCTCTTAATGAGTGATACAACCATTGAGGAAGAGAAAAAGGTCGCGGTGGAAGACACTTTGAGGCAGCTATATGGTTTTTGGGCTGAGAGAGCGGCTGAACATGGGTCCATCGCTCATTTGGTGGAATTCCTCCATAAAGGTCTTGAAAATGATGCACTTGAACTTGAGGAGGGAGTTGGCACCAACTGAGATGGATGATTCAAAGGCGGAAGTCCAAGATCCGCTATTGGAGATCAACCTAGGAACGGAAGACAACAATCAGCCAATCTACATTAATGGCCTAATGGAGCCAGAGCTTCAGACCAAGATGGAAAAGGTTTTGAGAGAGTTCAAGGATTTCTTTGCTTGGGATTACACCGAGATGCCTGGATTGAGTCGTGACTTGGTCGAGCATCGCTTACCAACAACGGAGGATTTCAAGCCCTTCCAGCAGCCACCACGTCGAATGTCGACCAAAGTAGAATTACAGGTTAAAGAAGAAATTGTAAGGCTTGTTAAAGCCAAATTTATCAGGCCAGCTAGGTATGTAGAATGGCTTTTAAATATTGTACCTGTAAAGAAAAAGACGGGAGCAATTAGAGTTTGTGTTGATTTTAGTAATCTCAATCTTGCAACTCCTAAAGATGAATACCCCATGCCTATGGCTGACCTCTTAGTTGATGGGGCAGCCAAGCATGAGATCTTATCCTTCATGGATGGGCACTCAGGCTATAATCAAATTTTCATAGCCCAGGAGGATGTCCACAAGACAACCTTCAGATGTCTCGGTTCTATTGGAACCTTTGAGTATGTAGTAATGCCATTCGGCCTTAAGAATGCCGGGGCCTTATATCAACGATCGATGAATGCCATCTTCCATGACATGATCGGTCGAAACCTGGAAGTTTACATCGATGATGTAGATGTGAAGTCGGAGCCAAGGCCAGGTGAATTGAAGATGAATCCAAAGAAGTGTGCCTTCGGGGTTTCAGCTAGAAACTTCCTAGGATTTCTGGAAAACCAAAGGGGGATCGAAATAGACAAGAACAAAGCTAAGGCCATCATTGATGTGCCACCCCCGAAAAATAAGAAAGGATTGCAAAGTTTATTAGGCCAAATAAATTTCCTTAGGAAGTTTATAGCCAATTCAGCCGGGAAGGTCAAACCTTTCTCATCTTTCCTAAAACTCAAAGATGAGGAGAAATTTAGATGGGATGAAGTGTAACAACCCAAACCTAAAATTAATATTTAACTATTAATTTATTAGAGGAAAAGACTAAAATGCCCTTAGAATATTTTATTGAGGAAAAGATTGACTTTTTGACCGAGAAAGAATTTGACCGTTTCAATTATATCGTTGCGTAGAGCGCGACGAAACGAGTCCGTAGACACGTAGTGGACTCGAATCGGAGTTGTAACGAAGAAGTTACGGTCAAAATGCTTCAAGGGGCAAAATGGTAATTAGGAAAGTCAGATTTTTTTAAAAAAAACCTCTCTCTCTCTTTGGTTCGACAGAACCCTCCCCCCACCC